CACACACACACACACACACACACACACACAAGAGCAGAGGCGTGTCGGCAAAGAGTAGGTGTTGGCCACATCCTGTGTGCAGCTTTCACATTAAGAGTTTTATTAAGCACACAGATAAGATAAAATGACTCAAAAAACATTAAAGTATCAAGTTTTAGCTTGAATTTCATTTGAAAAAAGTGTGTTTGTTCCAAATCAGGTTAAGAACAAAGGCTAACTCTTGATAAGACTGACCCCTAAAGGATGCTTTTCTTAAACACTCACAAATACCTGATTTAGAGTTCACAACTACTTCACTATTAACAAAAGTTGGGTTTTTGAACACAATACAGAACAAAACACCAGATGTTTATTTGGTGATTAATCTACTAAAATAATCAAGCGAATTGAGTTTTTCCTCATTTTCTTATCTTAGGTTGATTTTCCCTGTGTTGCACTTCAAGTTAGATATCCTCTCTGTACATTTTTTACTGCCGAAGATCTTTAAACCTGCAGATTCAAATCCAAACCTGGTCAGAGAGAAACTTACAGAAAACAACTGAAAGGTCATGTTGAAAGAAAAAGCAAAATCAAACAAAACAGTCCACAACATATGAAAGAAAACTAGTGCTTTTTGCGTCATTTTAATATTTGAACCGAATGAAGCAACATGCAAAGTTAAAAAAATCTGGTTTTGTGTAATTTTATGGAGCAAATTATTCTCACACCTACAAACGCTTAGTCATTCATAAAACATGAAATTGTCTTTGCTTGTAACATTTTATTTTGGCAGTTTAGCACTGTGCCATTGGTTAACACTTTAATATTACTGTAGTTTATCAGTTAAAAAAACAAAAAAAGTTGGACTGTTTTTAACAAAATACAGACAAATTCTAAGATTTCTTCAAAAAAATATGTTACTTTCTGTTTATGCTCAAACAAGACGCCAAAAAGGAACAGATATTTATCAAATATTTTGTTACTAAATTTGCTTTTATTCTCGATTTAGTACAAAATAAAACACATTTGTCTTTGACTTGTCTGTGTGTCGTGAAGCTGTGAGAAGTGATTTCTCAGTAAAGCCAAACCACAATCTGACAAAACAAAGCCAGCTGAAGTTTAATGACACTTTAAACAAGTTAAACACAGCAATTATAAAACTGTCTTCAATTAAACCTTATAAATGTACAAAGAGTTTCAAGGAAAAATGTTATCATGTAACTTTTTACTTCCCTTTACTATAATAAAGATTAATTTAACTATCAACGCTAGTTAAGAGTTTTATAAAACTGTTTATGAACAGGAAGTCAGAAAATTTCAGGATCTATTTAAAGTTTTGTTTCAGGGCAACATAAAAGCTAAGGTCATGCATCAATGCATTTATACACTCACCGGCCACTTTATTAGGTACACCACGCTAGTAACGGGTTGGACCCCCTTTTGCCTTCAGAACTGCCTCAATTC